TTATTGCTATAATTAATAAGCTAAAATTGAGCTATACATTAATGCCTAATATTGCTATAAACATATTCTTGATATTGCGGCTACAAGTATAGTATATTGCTATAAACATATTCCTAAGATTGCAGCTACAAATATGGTAAGAGGACCCTCTATAATAAATCTTAGTGGGGAATTTGATTTGCAGCATTTTTTAAGCTCCAAATCAATTTGTTTTAATGGATCATTGAGATGAATAAAAATTGGTTCGAAAGTTTTGGACTCTTAACATGTCCCTCGTGTTATCATGGCTGCAAGGCCACCAAATATTTTTTTTTCTTTATAACCCAGACCCTAAGTATTAATAAACATTTTAAGATTTCCCCCTTTTTCATTCATCCCTAGCTCCCTAGTGAATACAAAACACTACAATAAACCTGAAGGAAAAATTTTATACAAGGGTAAGGCCCTAAACAATCAAATTAAGATACACTTAAAATATTAAGTACAATAGGTTGTGTCGATGTTGAACCCTCAATTCGATAATCTCGGCCTCAAGATGTATGGAAATTAGAAAAAATAGATTTCAAGGATTGGAAATAGTGTATATTCGATTTTCAAGATTTTCTAACATTCATTAATTTGCTCGATGTATGCTATTTTTTAGTATTTAAATTTTGGGATTGTATACAATGAGGACATTTACTTTTGGAATAAGGAAGTCACAATTACTTACAAATATCTTATGTGAAATTTGATAGCTTGGGTGTATCACAAAGTTCAAGAAACTATCTTTTGAACTTTAAGCATGGTCAATGAAATAAATGTGGGGTTCATAGGAACAGCTTGCGGAACCAAGAATCCCCTGGGATCCCACCCAAGTTTGTGTACTCAATTGGCCAAATGCGAAGTTATAAATCGAGTGCGAGAAATAAAAAAAACATAAAAAAACATGCCACAACAACGCAAAATTTACGTGGTTCACCTCGTAGGGCTACATCCAGGGCCTCGGCAAGTCAAAATCCACTATCACAATGAAAATTACAATTTTGGGTTACAAGAGATAATATCTATATCTAAACATCGGTAAAAGACTATCTCTGATCTTTCCTTCTAAACTCTCTCTCCCGACCGAGCAACATTGTCGATCAATATCTTCTTTCATACCATCATACCGCTACCGGAAAGATAACCTCGAGAGCAACCGATAGACTTTCTCTCTGTAGAAGTGAAAGTTAATCAACTCAAAACTCATAGGAATACGCTTCTCTCTCGAAGGCCATGTATCTCTCTCTTGGAGACCTATATCTATATTGGAGATCCATTCCCGTAACCCTCATAGGGGTAACCCTCAAAGGATGGGTATTATGTTTCTTTGGTTCTCTTATATAAATATCACTTTCTTGCTTCTTAAGAAAGTCTAGTTTTATTTTACCATAATACCTTTAATCTTTAAAAGAAAATATAGGAATGGCGATTTGGTTATCACCAGACCCAAAAATCTCCACATTGATAGCAAAATCACCATAATTTATTAGATAGATTTCTTGATTTTTCCAAACACTTTGACTCTATATTTCTCCACCTCAAACCAGTGGTTTAAAAAATGGATCGGTGCCCCGGATCGGGCACGTCAAAAACCCATCCGGATCGATGAATCGGTTATCCAAATCGGGAATCAGCCGAATCGGTCGGAATATGCCTTAAAAAAAATCCAAAAATATTATTAAAATTCATTATAAATGTTGTTTTTTAGGAATCCAATAAGAAATAGGGGTATTACATTATTAACTTTTATTTCTTTCATTAATATGCGAATATTGAGATTTTGTTTCCATGTATGAACTTATGTTAACTATTAAATTTACATCACACAAAAGAAAAATCATAGAATTATCATGGATGACGCATATAATCATACATGGACTACAATAAATAATGGATTAAATCGATTAAAAAATGGCCACCAAAATCATAAACTAGGGGAAAACCCTAATCCGCTAAAAAAAAAAAACTCAAATTACTACAACCTAACTAGCTATAATCTAAAATTATTGCAACCAAACTAACTATAATATTATGTATTGAAATTGAAATTATTGGTTTACATTTTTATAATTATTTTATTATAAAAATAATAACAAATTCAAAATATCTTACAATATCATTTAATTTAAAATATATTATTGACAACTGTAAGAAAAAATAGTACAGTACATAATTTATAATGCCAATACATTAATAAATAAAATAAAAGACTTTGTTATCAATGTAAAAATTATTAAAACGCATACCAATTTTCGAAATAACACTTTAATTTTTCTAAAATCGAATTTTTTAAGTTTCAAAAATAAACTTTGTTTAGGTTTCGAGAATAATCATAACTCAAACACGTGCTTGAAAAGCATGATACTTGTTGTATTATTTTTTATTTATTTATTGATATTAAATACTTGTTGTATTACTTCTTTTTTTTTTAACAAGAAAAATAAGAAGACGGCGCTGGCTAGGAAACTTTTACTTTTTTTGTCAACGTAATTTTTATTTTTTTGTCAATATAAATTTTTTTATCAAGGTAATTGTTATTTTTTGCCAAGATAACTTTTAATTTATTTTTTTGACAAAAAAGTATTTTTTGGCAACATAACTTTTTCTTTTTATATGTGGTTCAAGAGAGATGCTTGCGTTTGTTTAAGAAAGAGAGAGAAGAAAGTTAGTGTGTTTTAGAGAGAGATGGACTTTTAAAGTTGACTTAAGAGGGAGAAGCGCGTGGGTATTTGGTGCAATGTTGGGCATTACAAATTGTCTTACATCGAAGAGAAGTGGGACGAAAAACGTGTATATAAAGGGTTGCAATAGCCCCATTTGCAAAGGGTTGGTTAAAATGGGGGCCACACGGAAGGTATGATGGTTTCTCTTGTTAGCGTCAGTGCCAGCGAGGCCCACGATTTGTTCACGCGCCTGGGCCCATAGAGGCGCACTATTTTGCTGATTCAACATGATGTCATGTGACGGATTGGCCGATCCTGTGACGTCATACGGCCGGTTCTTGCCGATCTGTGATGTCATACGGGTGGTTCTTGCAGATCTGTGACGTCATACGAGCGGTTCTTACCGATCTGTGACGTCATACGAGCGGTTAACTATTCAGTTGCGGCTCGTTGATTATTAAAACACTGCCTCAAACCATGTATCCATCAAACTCCACCATTTATCTTTTTCTTAATGCATGCTTTAGCCCCGTATATTTCTTAATGCAAGCTTTAGCCCCGTAAACTCCTTATGATCTGATACCAATTGTAGAGCTCTCATGTCCCACCTAAGCTTGTGTACTGAATTTGCCAAATGCGAAGTAGATGAATACAACTATAAATCGAGTGCGAGAAATAAAGTAAACATAAAAAAGCACACCATAATAACACACACTTTACATGATTCATCCCATGGGGCTACATCCACAGCCTCGGCAAAATCCACTATCATAATGAAAATTACAGTTTTGGGTTACAAGAGATAATACATATCTCTAAACATCGGTAAAAGACCATCACCGATCTTTTCTTCTAAACTCGCTCTCCCCACCAAGCAACACCGTCGATCAATATTTCCTTTCCCACTGTAATATCGCTATCAGAAAGACAACCTTGGGAGCAACCAAGAGACTTTCTCTCTCTAAAAGTGAAAGTGAAACATTCCAAAACTCATGGGAATGTGCCTCTCTCATGTCATGTCTCTCTCTCTTGGAGACCCATATCCATATTGGAGATCTATTCCCATAATTCTCAAAGGGGTAACCCTAAAAGAATAGGTATTATGTCTTCTTTGGTTCTCTTATATAGATGTCACTTTCTTGCTTCTTAAGAAAGTCCATTTTCATTTTACCATAATATCCTTAATCTTTAGAACAAAATATGGGTATAGTGATTTGGCTATCACAAAACCCAACAATCTCATCCTTTATAGAGAAATCACCATAAGTTCCTTGGCAACATTCATTAGATAGATTTCATGATTTCTTCACACTAGCCTCCATTGTGGAATTTTTCCAAACACTTTGCCTCCATATTTCTCCACCTTAAACCATATACCCATCAAACTCCACCATTCATCTTTTTCTTAATGCATGCCTTAGCCCTGTACACACCTTGTGCTCTGATACCAATTGTAGAGTTTTCAGGAATTATTAGCTTGCGGAACCGGGAATCCCAAATACTGGGATCCCATATAAGATGATGTACCCAATTGGCCAAATGTGAAGTAAATGAATACAACTATAAATTGAGTACGAGAAATAAATCAAACATAAAAAAGCACACCACAACAACACAATTTATGTGGTTTACCTGTAAGTCTATAACCACGGCCTCGGCAAATCAAAATCCATTATTACAATGAAAATTACGATTTTGGATTACAATAGCTATTACATATCTCTAAACATCGGTAAAAGAACATCACTAGTCTTTCTTTCTAAGCTTGCTCTCTCGACCGAGGAACGTCGTCAATCAATATCTTATTTTCCACCACAATACCGCTACCAGAAAGATAACCTTGAAAAAAACCGAGAGATTTTCTCTCTCTAGAAGTAAAAGTTATTTAACCAACTCAAAACTCATGAGATATGTCTCTCTTGAAAGTCATGTTTCTCTCTCTTGGAGACCCATCTGCCATTCCCAAAACCCCCAAAGAGGTGACCCTCAAATGATAGGTATTATGTCTTCTTTGGGTCTCTTATATAGATATCACTTTCTTGCTTCCTAAGAAAGTCCATTTTCGTTTTACAATAAGAGCCTTAATATTTAAAAGAAAATATGGGTATGGTGATTTGGCTATCACCAAACCTAACAATAAATGCAACCATCCAATTTTACATCTAATGGTCAAGATTTATTGTGACCATCTTGTACCAAAGGTAAATTGTCTCATTATATATTTTCCTTTAAATTTTATAATTAGAAATGAAAATAAATTTTCAGATCATCACAAAGATTTTTTATACTGAACAACATATTTGGGCACTATTTGAAGATGCGCCCTACTAATCATTTAGAGCCTCAACCTTATACAAACTGCACCCAAACCACCAAAAACCTAAATGAAGACTTTGAACCCCATCGATTTCTCTCGTAAAATCCACACTAATCTACCCAAGACGAAACAAAACTCTTGTACGGTTAATTATACCCAAAAAAAAAAAAAAGAAGAACAACAACAAGAGAGAATAAGCCACATTTCCCAAACTAGTAGCGAATGCACTTCAACTAAACCCCATCATCATATGGAAATGATGTCGAGTCAAGCCACTCATTGCCATCGATAAACTCCGACACCGTGAAGTCCTTCGCGTCAGAGTAATCCATTACATGATAACCAGGCCATGAGACCCGATTATCGGTTGCCGACCCCGGACCATCATTGTTGTACTCCCCATAGTATAGTGTGTCGATCCCCCTGTTGCCAGACCAGTTAGTCCAGCCCGCCAGGTCTATGAGCCCACCAATGTACGACTCCATGTAAACTGTTTGTGAGTAAATGCGCCAAGGCCGACCTAAATAATTCTTAGTCGAACCTTGGCTCCCTTCATAGTCGGTGTCGGCCTCAATTGTGCAATTCTGAATCGAGATTCCTGTATTTTCATTGGGGTCATCTCGAGATTGTGCTGTGATTACATTGAACTGGCCTTTCATGGGCTTCCTTAAGAAGATGTTACAAGCTTGGAAGACAGTAGCAGCATTACCAAAGATGAAGTCCACCGTGCCGTATATATCACATTCTCGGTAGAACTGCCGGAGGGAGTGCACATAAAGGGTGTCTTGGTAGCCTCTGAAAGAACAACGGTAGAAGGCAGAGACGTCGGCATTAACCCGGAGGGCTACTGCTTGATGCTTCTCTGGGCCGGCCGTGTTCTCAAATGTTATGTCACGTGCGAGGAACCCATCACCTGCCACAGCTGTGATTGCAAAGAAGGGAAGCATTAGTAGCTCTGCTTGAGGTGCGAAGATCGATTTCGATATTCACCAAAGTCTGGCAGTTGATTGAAACAAAGGCAATATGGAGTTTTATTATCATCAAAGCCTTTTCCCAATTAATGGGAGTCGACATGAGATTTTACAATAAAACAAGAAAAAAGATAAAAAAATAGGAAAAAAAGGTAGAAAAAACACAAAAAAAGGCTGGAATTGGCAGTATGTGATCAAAATTATTAAATCTTATAAATTCAAATGAGAACAATTTTCAAGCATAATTGGAAAGTATATAGAAATAACTGCTAATATAATTTGCTATCTGCTGATCATAAACCACAATGCAATTGATCGAGTTATGGGTAAACTTTTAGCATTCTTTGTGATAATTATGGAATGTCAGTGTCTAAAGCACTTATTACCAAGCGTTTGAGATATGGGAATCATGTTATAGTCTTGGGATCGTATATAATGAGAGTATTTATTTTTGGTATCGGGAGGCCACAATTATTTATAACCAGTGGTTTAAAAAAGGGATCGGTGGCCCTGATCGGGTACCTCAAAAATCCATCTGGATCGGTGGATCGACGATCCGGATAAGAAATCGGCCAAAATCGTTGGGATTAAGCTGTAAAAAAAATATAAAAAAATTATTAAAATTTATTATAAATATTGTTTTTTAGGAATCCAATAAGAAATCAGGGTACTAAATTATTATTTTTTTTTTTTTCATCAATATGTGAATATTGAGATATTTTTTCTCTGTATGAACTTATTTTAACCATTAAATTACATCACACAAAATAAAAATCATAGAATTATCATGAATGAAGTATATAATCATACATGGACTATAATAAAGAATGATTTTTTAATAAGAACATTTTAGTTTTTTTGACAAAAACCTTTTATTTTTTTACAAGAAATGTTTGTCGTATTACATTTTTTTTTTTTTAGCAATAACCTTTTTTTTGACAAAAAATACTTGTGGTATTATTTTTTTT